TACCTGGGTGGCTCAGTCGGTTAAACATCCGACTTTGGCTCAGGTCATGATCTCATGTTCGTGGGCTCGAGTCCCGTGTCAGGCTCTATGCTGACAGTTCGGAGCCTGGAGCTGCTTCAGATTCTGTGTCTCCCTCTCTCTGCCCCTCCCCTACTCACACTTGGTCTCTCTCTCTCTCTCTCAAAAATAAACAAACATTTAAAACTTTTTTAAAAAAGCCATTCTAGGGGCACCTGGATGGCTCAGTCTGACTCTTGCTTTTTGGCTCAGGTCATGATCTCATGGTTCGTGAGTTTGAGCCCTGCATCAGGCTCTGCGCTGACAGCTCAGAGCCTGCTTGGAATTCTCTCTCTCCCTCTCTTTCTGTCTGCCCATCCTGTTCTCCTGCTTTTTCGCTTTCTCTCAAAATAAATAAATAAACATTTTAAAAAAGAAATAAAAACCACTGCAGCCATTTCAGAGCTGTGCTTTGCTGCTCTGAACAGAAGCTCTGGCCTCGTTTTGCTGCTGATCTCTTGCCGAGCGGCTGAGCCAAACGCAGACCAGAATGCACAGACGTTGGTGTGAAGAAAGGAGCGTTTCCTATTAATTCCCTGATGATGATGATGATGATGATGATGATGATGTGGGTTTAGTATTGGATAACATCAAGTTATACTAATTCAGGTGTATTAACAGCGAAGGTGAAGTACTTAATTCATCTCACCTCGGTCTTCTTACCGTTGTTTAACATGACAATGAGATTTTTTTTTTTTTTTACAAGATTTGAGATTTTAAGTGACGTGTGGCTCCTCTTCCATTCCTGGGGGACACTGTGGTTCTAGAAGCCTGAAGCTTTGTCAACCCAGGAGCACTTGGAAAGGGGGTGGGAAGTTCACCCATGACCGTCCTCAACTGTGCGTTTTCCCAAGCTTCTTGCCTTTGGTGTATCGAGTGTCTGAAAATGCACAGGTCCATTTGCGTTATCAGCCAATTGAATCACAACCTGAAAGGGACATTTTTTTTTCCCCTCGGACTTTTTTTTTTCCTTTTTTAATCCTGCCATTGGATAAATTACTTAAAGAAGCTCTTTTAGCCACATGGAAAAGAGACATGGCTTCCCCTGCCCGAAGGGCTCAGAATCAGCCTGCATGTTCTTTTACTGTATCTCCCATAAAATAAAAACAAAAAACCCAACCCTGTTTTTCCAAGGGCTGATCTGACGTGATCACCTCTGCTGGTCATTTCACTGACCAGCCTGAGGCCCCACCTGGTGGGGGGTTCTGCACCCTGATGCCCTTGCTCCACCCCCTCCGCCCCCCACCCTTGCCAACCCTTTGTCCCTTGAGTCTTACGCACCAGTGACCTGCAAACTGTGCTCACGGCGGCCACGCTCCGTGTGAGAAAACGCTGCTGGTGATGTTTACCCTGCAGGTGCAAGCTGGTATCAGAACGCCTACGCTGTGTGTGTTTGCTATTCGTTTTCTTGGTCCTGGGCCAGAACAGACTGCCGTCAAGATGCCTAGCTGAAGACTGGGGTGTGTGTCAGGGGTGGGGCGGGAAGGTGCGGAGGAGAGGGACACTTGGGCACGGTTACTTTCCGCCACAAAGAGGCTGACGCCCGTGGCCAGCTGTCCACTCCGGGGACACATTGTCGGGCTCTCCCGCTAAGCCCGCAGATTGCCGACCTCCACGCCAGGGGACGGAGCGCTTTGAACTGGTTTTTGCAGGCACAGAGCAAGAGTTACAAGCTATTACTAACCCTTTGGAAGCAAGTAGATGGGGGTGGGGGAGAGAGAAGTGGATATAGGGATATCTCTTCCTTAGAAAATATTACATTGGAAAACAAGATAGATACATTGACATAGACTTGGCTTTTGCCAGATAATCCATGCATAAGGAGCTCAGGGCCCAGAGCTCAGCGCCAACTGCCCCCCCCCCCCCCCCCCCCCCCCCCCCCCCCCCCCCCCCCCGCCACATTGCATCACGACAGGAGCCAGCTGCATGAGCAAAGCGGCCTCCAGGGGCTCAGCCGCCTCGGGAGCAACAGCCCAGCCAGGACCATGGGTGGGCCCTCCCTCCCAGGCTGGTGGCTCCTGTCCCATGTCTGCTCTGTCCCCATGGGCAGGCAGGGCCCCAAGGCACCAGGCCCACGTTGGAGGATCTGGTTGGAGGACCACGCGAGGTGCCAGGCGAGCAGAGGTGGACCCGGGCTGTGTCCGCAGAGCAGGGACGGAGTGACTGACCCCACCTAGGGGACACCTGCGTGGTGCCGGTGATGCAGGCACAGGGGAGCAGAAGCAGGCACAGGGAATGGGGCTGAGGGAGTGTCCCAGACGTCAGCAAGACAGCTTAGACTGCGGAGGGGCAGGAATAGCTGAAGGGGAGCCCTGCGACCTCGGGGCTTGGCTCCTGATGAAGTTTGGTGGGGGCAGTTCCGGCCGCAGCCTGGGTGGGAGGAAGATGGTGAGCTCACACGCAGGCCTGGTCCCGGCTGCCCCATTACGGTCATCAGGCTAATAGCTACTCACAGGGATTGTTCAATGCTCTTAACAAAATAAAATTGTAGGGACGCCTGGGTGGCTCAGTCGGTTGAGCATCCGACTTTTTGATTTCTGCTTGGGTCATGATCCCAGGGTCGTGAGATCGAGCCCCACCTCGGGCTCCACACTGAGCATGGAGCCTGCTTGGGATTCTCTCTCTCTCTCCCCACCTCTCTCTCTCCCCTGCTTATGCTCTCTCTCTCAAAAGAAAATAAAAAGTAACAGTAATAAAATAAAAATAAAACAAAATTGTAAACACAATGTACTGTGAGTATCGTGCACCATATAGCAAAAATGTAATCTACTTTGCCAAAAGAGTTCTCTTCATGATCAAAAAGGACCCAAAGGGATGATTTTAAATTTAGCCATTTAAAAAATTGCCCAACATTTCAAGCTGCTTTGTACCCAAATCAGCATAATTCAAGACAAAAAGGATAAAGCCTTCACTGTAATTCATTCATTTCAACAAATCACAGTGGGTGGCAGTGACTGACTAAATTTTACTTCCCTTGCTGGTGGGGATGTGTTATTTTTTTAAAATTTTTTTAAATGTTTATTTATTTATTTTAAGAGAGTGAGAGAGTACAAGTGGGGGAGGGAGAGAGAGAGAAGAGAGAGAGAATCCCAGGCAGGGCCCACGCTGTCAGCACAGAGCCCAACGTGGGGCTCGAACTCACAAACCATGAGATCATGACCTGAGCCGAGATCAAGAGCCAGATGTTTAGCCAACAGCCGCCCAGGCGCCATGGGCAGGTGCCAGTCTTACATCATCACAGTCATCCTGTGTGCATGTCTTGATTTCTTCACACGGCGTCTCTGGCTTAATCATCGATCGGTGTGTCCACAGAGTTTGGATTCATTCTATTGACTGATTTTAGTGTCCTTTGAAATCAACATGCAGTGTTTTAGGCAAACCCCGATGGCTGGAGATTTTGGAATTCTTCACCTAAATTCGACAAACGTTGTGTTCACATTTTTCTATCTAGTGGATTGTTTCCTTAAGACAAATTACCAGAGGCCAGTGAACCAAAGTTCTTACCAAGTTAAAGCGACATTTTTATCTCTCGATGTGTGTTCCCATTTGCTTCCTAGAAGCAGCAAGTGTGAGAGTCTTAGCCCCAGTGCACTTCCTCAGCTTGTCGTGACGTTTTTCCTAGTCTAACGTTTACAGAATAGCATTTTGGGGATTTTCATTTTAAATTCATTTTGAATTCTTAGGAATTCCATTCTGTTCTCATAAAGCGACGTGGCTTAGCATACTCTGAAGTCAAAGCAAGGACTCCGAAGGAAAAGCACCTATCTAATTTTGTTTAGCTGGGCTTTAAGCATCCAAAATGAAGAGAAATCCAAACTTTAAGATAATGCATTCCGAAGAAAAGAAAAGAAAATGCATTCAATTAAAGCCCCAGCAACAGCAGGAGTAAAGAGAGCCTTGTGCCCCTTACGGTCCTTACTAATTGGCCCACATGCACACACATCTCCAACTGGCCCCTTTTGTCTGGCTTGTCAGGGGACATTAGCTGAGACCAATCTAGAAGCCGTTTCCTGGCTCCCAGAAGGACCCAGTCACCAAGGAAGAAAGACTCATTTATCAGAACACAAACTTCGCTGCGTAAGTGAGGACCGTGAAAGCGTACCCCAGGCACCATTATCCGGGCCTGATTAGCAGTGACGGAAATTGGTCCTCAGTATTCACAATCAGCGGAAAAGACCTTCAGCTTTCACTGAAGATAGACAATTGCCGCCCAGATGTCTCTGTGGCCCGCGCAGCGAGAACAAGAGACAAGAGCCCTTGCAAAAGCTTGCTTTGAAAGGGTCTCGGCCACAGCCGTCTCGTGGATGCTGTTGTCTCAGTGACGCAAATAAGGCGAGATCTGGCTCCGCTCGGCGGGCAGCTTGTCACCTTCCTAGATGTCCAGGTGGCAGGGGCCACATTGTGCCCCTGGACACTGGGCATGGCTGGTCCTCTCCAGCCCTCCCCCTGGTGTAGAGCCCATGTGACCTTGGGCAGATCCATCAGTCATTCGGCGCATGGTCTCCTATGTGACCGGCGATGGTAAGACTACCTGCCTTATACATTGCCTGTGAGGTTTATAGTATGAGAATGTGTGCCCAAGCCCTGCGTCTGGGTTCTCGCGTGTTCAGGCTGCACATGGGACACAGAGGGACGGGGGCTGCCCTCCCTGGTAGGTGCTTTCTCCAGTCGTGGGGGCAAGGGGGCAAGGACTGTTATCACCGTCCCAGCCGTCCCTGCCATTGCACTTGTTGCCACCGCTTGCACATGTGCACACACACACACACACACACACAAACACACACACTGTCTGTGTCCCAGCAGCTCCCAGGGCCCCAGAGCCCCGTGAATACGGAACTGCATGAACTTGGCCTTGCATTGTGCCTTCCTCAGATATTTCCAGATAAGAGTAAAGCAATAATGAGAGAAATGAATGCCCTCCCTCTCTCTCTGGTCTTCTCCAGACCTGAGGAAGCCTCGCCAGCCTCCGGAGGGGACGAAGACCTGTTTATCACCGGACAGTTCCAGAAAACCCTGGAGGAACTTGATGAGGACCTGGAAGGTGAGAGCGGGCCCTGCTTTGCTATTGCGTCATGTGGCAGGAGACCCCGGGGGATATTTTTTCTGGCCAGGCTTGTAGCTCCTTGAGGGAGAGGTGTGCAGGAGGACCCTGGGCTGTCTGAAGAGATCCTGGAGGTGAGGCGATTGGGCGAGCACAGCTCTGCAGAGCACATCGATCGGGGCGGCGAACCGCACCGGGTAGACATCTAAATAGCAGCTTAAAATCCCTCTGGAAGACACTGATTTTGCACATCAGAAAGCATTCTGTTTGCACACATTCAGAGAAGAGGGGTGCCTGGGGGCTCAGTCGGTTAAGCGTCTGACTTTGGCTCAGGTCGTGATCTCGGGGTTTGTGGGTTCGAGTCCCACGTTGGGCTCTGTGCTGACAGCTCAGAGCCTGGAGCCTGCTTCATATTTTCTCTCTCTCTCTCTCTCTCTCTCTCTGCCCCTCCCCTGCTCATGCTCTGTCTCTGCCTCTTTCTCTCTCTCAAAGATAAAATAAATATTTAAAAATAAAAGGGAAAGTTCCCCGATGCCCAAATGAGTTTGAGAAGCAGTGGGTGACACAGGTGAACAGGCTCCCAAAGGCCCCCAACCCTTTGCTCACTGCTGTATGGCATTTCTTGAAGGAAAATTCAGGAGGCATGGCCCTGACCATGAACCCATTTCTGGTGGGGCATCTGCTCTTCCACAGATATAGAGGGGGCGATGATTCAGTGAGGCCACAGCAGACATGTGGGATCCTGGTAGACGACTGGGCGATCTTACAGACAAAGGCAAACAGTGAAAGTAATCTAGAAATGAGATACCGGCCGGGTCTTAAAACAAAACAAAAACCAGAAGGAAACAGACGGGAGAGCTGATCAGTAGTTTGGTCTACTCGCTTTTCAGTCCTCAGAAGATGTGGTGGGCAGAGCAAAATTGTTTATCCCGCCTCCCTCGGGCTCTGATCGCATGATCCGCTGAATCCTTTAGGGCTAATTCTGAGGTGCCCCAGGCTCAGTCGTCTGCCTCTTAAATGAAGGCATAAGCACATCATTTCCCAAAACAGAGCAAGTTGAAGGCCAAAACCCCAGTTACCCTTCATGTTCCATGCTGAGACCATGTTTCCAAAGGGCTCAGGTTTACAGATCTATTTCTTTTCTTTTTTTTTAAATTTATTTCTAGGAGAGAGAGAGACAGCGTGAGCAGGGGAGGGTCAGAGAGAGAGGGAGTCACAGACTGAAACAGGCTCCAGGCTCTGAGCTGACAGCACAGAGCCCGACATGGGGCTCGAACCCACGAACCACGAGATCATGACCTAAGCGAAAGTCGGACACTTGACCGACTAAGCCACCCAGGCACCCCTACAGATCTATTTCTAAGTGAAGGATGGTGGCGAAACATTGTCCCTGAATGCTTTACCTGGAGACACCACGCATGTGCCAACAGTCTCCCGTGTCGAGCCAGCAGCATTGAGACTCGGGCCCCGGGCATGAGTAGATTGCAAATCAGAGTGACACTTGAAAACACATGTAAATAAGGGCACTTGGGGGGCTCAGGCGGTTAAGCGACTGACAGGCTCAGGTGAGGATCTCGCGGTTCCTGCATTCGAGCCCCCCCGTCAGGCTCTGTGCTGACAGCTTGGAGCCTGGAGCCTGCTTCAGATTCTTTGTCTCCCTCTCTCTCTGCCCCTCCCCCCTCACAGTCTGTCTCTCTCTCAAAAATAAACAAAGGGAAAAGATTTTTTAAATGCACGTAAATAACATACACGAAAATAACCTTGGGAAGACCAAAGCCCGGGTATGATCACACTGAGCGACTGGCTTGGGAATCGTCCCCAGCGATGCCAGTCTGTGACTTGTGTTTGTCCTTCTCTGCAGGACTGGAGGAGGGCGATGAAGACGGCACCGGCTTGGTGAACGGAGTGTCCGGGTGCTGTACGTCAGATGCCAGCGTCCCCGACAGCGACGCGGACGCGATCCCAGTAACGTTCATAGGCGAGGTCCTGGACGATCCTGTGGACTCAGGGCTGTTCTCCAATACAAACAACAATGCCGGTTCTTTTGACCTGGGCGGCGGGGCCGGCCAGGGAGGCCACCTGCTGCGAAAGGAGGCGGGGAACGACCGGCAGCGGGAGACGAGAGCAGACGTGCCCGACTCGGCAGCTCATGCCCATGACCTCGGGAAAGCAATCAAAGCCGCCTCGCCCAACCCTTGTGAAGACGGAAGCCTGGATAAAATGGAGCCCAAGGCGACCTCTGCGGACTTTCCCACGCACAACCCACGTGTAAAGGAGAGCGGTGAGGGGCCCGGCTCTGCTCTCAGTGGGCCGACACAGGCCAGCAAGAGAGCGAGCTCACAGCCAGCGAGGGAAAAGGAAGGGAAGGCTGAGGACAGTGGCTCAGCCCCGCCATCGTGGTACCGACGGGGCCACAACCCAGGGGGAAGTTACGGGCTGAAATACGGCCTCACCACGTACAAAATCGTCCCCCCGAAATCAGAGATGAGGTGTTACGACAGAGGAGTATCGCTGTCAACAGGTGCCATTAAGATCGATGAGCTAGGGAATCTGGTGAGTCCCCATGCAAACGGGGGCAGGAGCGTGGCCCCAGCATCCCCCGCTTTTGACGCGGAAACCCAACCCCTTGGAAAAGTCAAGGAGTTCTGGAGGTCTGGCTCTCTAGAGAAGCCCTCTGGCCAGCCCACGGAGCGCTCAACCAACAGGACCCCGGCTCCCACCACGCCAGTGAAGCCACAGCCTCGGGAAAGCAGACGCGGGGCAGAGCCCACCGTCCCGGACCCCAAGGCGCCATCGCCCCCGCTGCAGTCTGCCCACCAGGAAGAAAGGAGACGCGAAGAGGAGGGGAGAAGCCGGCCACCCATGGCGGCCACTCGTCACGTGAACGTGCCAGCAGCCAATGCCACAGAGGTCCTGTTCCTCAAGCCACAGAGGAGAACATCCAGTCAGTACGTGGCCTCTGCCATTGCCAAGCGGATGGGGCCCCAGAAAGCCCGGGCCGAGGAGACCTGTGAAGGCCCAGCACCAGAGCTGGCTGGACGGCCTCCCGCTGGGAGAGAAGGCCCAGCCCCCAGCCCGCTCCCAGAGACCCGCGTCCATACTGACCGGCGGGAAGCATCGGCGGAAGGAGCCCCGCCCCAGGGGCCGGTCGGCAGCCCTGATGGAAAGCTGTCTGCTCAGGACTGCGCGGCCACCGTCCACAGAAGTCCCTGCATCCCGCCTGTCACGGCCGCACGCCCCATTTCTATGGGACAGATCTGTAGCTTCAGTGGAAAGCAGAGCCACAGGGCCAGCTCAGCGTCCGTCCCCAAGTGCGCTCTGGACAGCACCGACCCCCCGCCCGCCCGCTCGGGAGATGATCCGACTCCTGCCAGGACCCTGGTGAATGGCTCCAGGTGGGTCCCCGGCCCCAGCAAGCCTCCTCACTCTCCGAGGGGCTCCGGTACCAGCGGCCACGCCGGACTGGAGCCCCTAGGACAGGAGAAGCCCAGCCCGTTGTGCACAGATGCGCATGAGGCCAGCGGTGCCCTGCCTCCCAGCATCTTTGGGCCGAAGAAGAAATTCCGACCTGTTGTTCAGAGACCGGCACCAAAGGACACCTCCCTGCACAGCGCCCTGATGGAAGCCATCCACTCGGCGGGTGGGAAGGACAGGCTTCGCAAGGTGAATGGGCAGGTGCCTGCCTGGGGGGTACAGGCATCCCTAGATTCTTGGGTGGCATGGGAGGAGGGGCGGGGTGAGCATAAGAACGAGGGAGGTGGATGCTGGGGTCTCATCTCCTTCCCACCGGGAGCTGCATCTCCCTGACTGCAGGGCATTTAGAACCATGAGGGACGGGAGCTGATGGGTTTGAGGTTGTCCCAACAGCCTTGCAGAGCCTGACTCCCCTGGGGCAAGATGTGGACAGTGGGGTGTCCGTGCCTGGGCCCAGGGGAGCGGAGGGGTGGGCACAGCTCATCTCTGACGTGTCCTCGAGTAAGGGGCGGCTGCCGCCGGTCACTCCTGTACTGTTAGCGGTGTCACCTGTCATTGTTCAGTCACAGCAGGAATGGAGTTTAGGACACACACACACACGCCCTTGCGTATCCAGGCACTTAGCACCAGCACTCGCCTTTGGGAGCTATCTTGTCCATTTCACAGGGGAGGAAACGGAGGCGCAGTGAGGTCAGGTGGGCTGGCCCGCAGTCACACTGCCAGCTAGCGGGGACCCCTGGGTCCTCGTTTGGGTCTGCAAAGCTTCAAAGCACCTATCAGCTCCCGGAAAGCCAAGCCGGTATCAGGAGGCACACGACCCGAAGCGGCCACCACCCCATGCCTCCCCACACATTGCCTTTCTCCGATCAAACGCGCTGATGGTGTGAACGTTCCAGATTGCAGGGCACACGTCGGAGGGAGGGCCAAGCAAGCTGTCGTGCAGGGAGGCGGAGGGCGAGCGGTCCGCACTGCTGGCGGCCATCCGAGGCCACAGCGGTGCGCGCAGCCTGCGGAAGGTAAGACGACAGCCTCGGTGGCCCGATGGCTTCATACCCCCGCGCCCCCCAGCGACCCTGGCGCCCAGGGCGGCCCTCCCGTTTGCTAGGTGTGTGCTAAGCCACCATCCGAGCGGGCAGCCCAGCACCCTCGGAGGCTGGCGTTGAGGGGCAGCCCCCTGCATGGGCGAGGCCGAGCGCCCAGGAGCCCAGGTGCCTCCCACCTGCCCGCCTGGGACAGGCGTCCCCGGGGCTCCCCCGCCCCCAGCGGGGCCGCAGGTGCTTTGGCCCGAATCACAGCCCTGGGAGCCAAGGTGGGCTGCGGTGTAGGGGCGGGACGTGCCCCGGAGTCCGAGGCACAGCCGTGGGTGTATCACCCACCGAGTGAGGCACGCAGCCTCCCCGACAGCTGGTCGCCTGGTCGGGGCTGTCCCCGCCCACCGAGGGGGGCCCCGGAAGGCTGTCCCGGGTGGTCGCTGGCTGGGGACCTCGTGGGGGGGGCCGCACACCCCCTCGGCCAAGGCAGCACGCGCCCCCCCCCACAGGCCCCCTGGGACCCTGTCATCGGCCCTTCTCGTTGTTCAGGTGTCCTCCTTGGCCTCTGAGGAGCTGCGAAGCTTCCGCGACGCAGAGCTGTCGGCGCGCGGACCCGAGCGGCGGGCGCTGGGCGACCTCGGGGCTCGGCCCCCGGCCGGCCTGCCGCCCCCGCCCCCTCCGGCCTCCCAGGCGCCCTCCGCGCCCGCGTGCGGCCCCAGCGACCCGGCCGAGGCCCGGCAGGCCTTGATGGACGCCATCCGCTCGGGCACGGGGGCCGCACGGCTCAGAAAGGTGACGTGGGGGGCCCTGTGCGCGCTCGGCCTGGCGGGCGGGTCACCACGGGCCGCGCGCAGCAAGATGGCCGTAGTGACGATGGCTGAGGCCCCGTCCCCTTCCCCGACCCGAGGGAGGGACACGGCCTTCACCGGGTGGGGGTCGCCCGCAGACGCGCCCCTGGGGACACGCGGTGCCCCACACTCGGGGGCCGCACCACGCGCTCTGACTGTGGTCCAGGGACCGGCCAGGCGGGCATCTCTGGTGTGTCCTGTAGGGAGCCCCGGGCACACTCAGGGCCCTCGGCCTGGACTGGGGCTGTGCGCACCATTTCTCCCCCCTTTCCTCCCTCCCCCCTTCCCTCCCCCCTCCC